CGGTGTGTCCTGGTTTGGAGCTGACCGGGGCAGCCCCGGGGGAACGTCCCCTGTGCTCACGCTCACAGTGCCATGGGGACACTGAGCCCCAGGCAGAGCTGCCGGCCCCTTCCTCTGCCTCCCACCAGCACGGACCTGCCCCAGCTTGGCCCCTCTGCCCTTACCCCTCCTGTCCTGCCCAGGAGAGCCTGACCCACTGTGCAGGTCATTTCCCTGCTGCACTTCACCCTTCCCCCCCGCATCCGTCTTGGCTGGTTAGATTCTGGGCTCTTCAGAGGAGGCACAGTTTGCTCTTCTTCTGCCTGGTGCAAAGGGGGGAGGGGGCTCTTCTTGGTCCTCTCTAGGTGCAACAAGAGCAGACAGACAGGTAGCACAGTACACACCCCAGCAGGGACGTGCAAGAGGGGACAGTCTCTCGGGAAAGGGTGTCTGCAGGGGAATGACCCGAGCGGTTAGAGCAGAGGCTGCTAGCCCAGCAGCTGGTGACCCTGCCACGGAACCTGCGCTGGGGACTTGGCCAGTTTACCTGCTTTCAGCTTCTCCTGTGTGAAAAAGAGCAAACAGCTTTGAAGGACAGACAGCTCAGCACATCCCCGGTGCTGCCCTGGATGTGGCAGTCGGCAGGGCTCAACCAGCCCTTCTCCACACCTGGGAGGTGGCACTGCAGCTTTCCAACGGGCATCGCACTCAACGGTCTGGTCCTCCTGGCCTGCTCACCACCCTGAGAAGCTGCTCTCCAGGCAGTGGCCACCGGTGATGTGGAAGATGCCCCCAGCTTGTGGCTGGAGAGGACTGGACCTCCCAGAGATGCAGGATATCCCTGCGGGGAGATGGTCCCTGCTGATGCCCCAGCTCGGAAACATGGTGCAGGGTCTGCCTTTCCTTGGAGCAGGAGGAGGAGGCGCAGGGCTGCTGGGGCAGCAGGAGAGCAGAGGGACTGCTGACTTCAAAGCCCCAGAGTGACCTGGGGCCAGACATGCCAGAAGCCCTCAAGTCTTGGGCAGAGGCAAAAGAGGAAGCTCCCAGCATGGGGAGGGCTCAAGGACAATGCGAACAATGGCAGGGGATGTGACTCACGGACAGCACGGGGCAGGTTCAAGGACACAATGCCTTGAGAAGTTTAGGTTTAAAAACTCCTAAAAAAAAATAAAAGGAGGCCTTTGAGTGTCCATCCGCCCCAGAACCTACGGGACCAGCCTTGCCCTCAGATCCCAGCATGGGGGGTGGGGGGGGGCGAAGCAGGCTTGTGAGAAGGAAATGACAGCACCGAAGGCTGGGAGAGCAAAGGAAGGATGGGGCACGGGGCACGGGGCCAGGAACAACAGCAGCGGCTCCCACCCTGCCGAGAAGGCGGGGAGGAGGGTTATAATAGCAAGCCCGCAATCC